TGGCGTGTTGACACGTGTAAAAAGACCAGTTCTGACAAGTTTTGGCAGACATCAAATTGGAACACATTACATAGCTTTTACTGACAGAGATGACACTGGGATTTCTAAAGAATGTGAGACCATGTAAAGAAATAAGATAGAAAGAGAAGAAACTGCATCTGAGGGAAAAACATGACATTGAGACTTTCGACAGAAAAGGGAGAGATATGCCATTTACTGTTTACTGTATATAACTACATACATTAAGATTTTTTCAAATATAAATTTTGTTTTAAAAAAAAATAGTTAATTTTTTCCTTTCATGTGACATGAAAACACTTTCTTTTTTTTTTTTTGCGGCCAACATGTTGTCAAACTAATGACAGAGAGGGAAAAGAACTGTCACTTCATTAGTTGTCTCATTTTAACTGTTAGCAGTAGTTTGCACACCACGGCAGGTACTCCTAAACGTAAGTAGCCTCTCAGTAGGTCAGTGCACTCAGCTTAGCCACAAAAAATGCTCGTTATTGATTCATGGAACATGATGAAAATCTAACCCAACAAGGTTTCTTCCCAGTCCCAAAATCTACTGAAAGAAGCTCGACCCACAGTGACATCGTTCAACATCCCACACAAGCCACAGAATTGCTGCCAACGCCTTGGTGCCAAAGAACAGAGAAAACCCTCTGGGAGCCCACATGCATGTCCATACCCAGATCTGTTAGAGTTGTTTTGGCAGTAGGATAGGGACCTGAAAAGTGTCAGGCTGCTGGTATTAACATTGTGTTTAATTTATAATTTAGATGTTGCCTGGTTAAGTAATACTGTTTGTTGCATTATCTGTACTCTGTATGAGATTATTGTTTATAAAACTAAATCTTTTTTTTTAAACTAGCTCAAAATAAAGACAGACTCAGATGTAGGAATCATTGCAAAGCAGAGATAATTCACAAGCAGACAGTCGACCGGTGGCTATGTTAGCGGCAGGCCTCTGGGTCCAGGCTTGTCCAAATATTTCCCTGTGCTCCTTTAACTGCAGTTTGTTACAGCTGTTTTGGATTCTTGTACATATGCTGTTCGAAGTTATTTCGTTTATGTCTTGATGTAAGATGTTTACTTTGTTACACCTTTTGTTCCCTGTGTTTTGCATTTAGTTTTACTTCATTTATCTTGTTATCCTGTGATTGTTTGGACCTGTTTGTTTTCCCTGTTCCACATTCTCTTGGGGTCCAGGGTATAGTTGGCCGTTTTTGACTACTTTTGATTTTACCTTTATATTTCCCCTTAAAAAATTGTTTTCTTTGCCTTTTTTGTGGTATCATTGCTTTCAGTACAACCTCACATGTCTAAATTTACAGTTATTTTTTCATGTTAACATAACAACATTTATACAATTGGCCTAAAATTGGCCTAAAATAACACAAAAAAACCTCAAATTCAAGTAAGAAAAACATATATTTTTTATTGTGAGAACCACAAACATGTTAAATGAATCATTTTCATAACTTCATCAGGTAGTGGCCTCCAGCTCACACTGGAGCATCTCGCAGCCGAGAGTGACATGGCAGGAAAGAGAATCAGCACCTCCAAGTCTGAGGTCATGGTCCTCACCCGGTCAAGTGCCCACTCCAGCTTGGGGATGAATTACTGCCCCAAGTGTGGAGTTTAAGAATCTTTTGTCTTGTTCACGTTTGAGGAGAGAAGGGAGCTCGGATGAGAGATGAGATTTGCTCATTCAAATCAAATTTTACCGTAGTTTAGTTTTATTTCACAATAATAAATCGATACAAGATATGAACTCTTATTTATTCTCCTTTGTTTTAGCAGCTGCTCTGGAGAGTATAGTGATGATGGTTTTGATATGAGTCATGTCTGTACGGAAGAAGCATGTTTTTATTAAAATATTACAAAATATTACTGATTGTCTATTTAACTTGAGTAATGCTGTTGCAAAATACTCACAACTTGCTGTAACACTAAAACTAATTTATTTTTAAACTGCTCTTATATTATCTTGGTAAGAACTTATAAATAACATAGCAAAGAACAGGGAAACAGTCAGAACCCATCTCCTTTCTGAAGGTGCAGGGAAGCAACTCTCTTGTCCACTGGGGACAAAGAAATCCAGAACAAAATTAACCTGGTCATTTACATGGTAATTTCTACTATGCAAATGAATTACACTGTAAGACAATATGAATTAATTTCCCCATACAAAACAATATTTATCCCATAGGTATGGGAGTCGAGAACCGGTACTTGCAGAAAATCGGTTCCCAGTAGTCCAATTCCTGCTTCCTGCTCCAATTGTCTGCTTGATCTCAGTCCCGCTTATCAGTTCTTGCACTCAAACTCACAGTGGGATGTAAAAGTTGGCCAACCTTGTTAATAGTCATTATTTTCCTGTAAATATATCATATAGGAGACACACACAGTGATATTTGAGAAGTGAA